TGTTATGATAGCAGAAAGCAATCTTCTTGTCATTCCTACTGACTGTGAGCATGAGGTCTGAGATGCGCTCAATCTTGGACTGTCTCGTGGTGGTACCGTGGGCTCTGCCAGCCACTGACTGGCACAAACTAGATGTGGTTTAACATTCCATGGAGGCTGGAGGGCATAGGCTAATGCATTAAGCATTGCTGACCTTTGCATGTGATCTGGATTGTTCTCATTTGAATTCTCTACCCTAAAGAAATGCACTAGCAGAAATCTCAATTGTGCATACTTTCCTAGGTTCTATATCTGTATGTATATTCATATCCATATCCATATCTTTATCTACATCTATCTGTGTCTATGTCTATGTCTATGTCTATGTCTATATCTATATCTAATCTATATCTATATCTGATGGAGGATTTGAGGGGAAAACAAGACAACAGGAAAATAAATGTGGAAAGCCAGAGATAATGACTCTTTTCTCCTCACTGATCTTTTTCTCAGCCACGGTATTATAACTTTAGCATGCTCCTTTTGTTCACGTTTTTGTTTAATAGTAGAAAAAGATAAGAAAGCATGAAATTTTTTATTATCTAATAGTTACTGTAGAAATGATCTTCATATGGCTGTCATTCTCAGGCAGACATCATTCAGTCAGGATAAGGTTTGTGCCCATCAGCCATTCCGAGTACATCAGAAGGCAGCTGTTGTACACGGCCTTCGCACCTTCCGTCTGGTCTGTGACAGGCGGACAAGGACAACAGTGCTCAGCAGGCTGGTACTTGTCAAGTGAAGCCAGAACACCTTCCAGAGGGATTTGAATCGGGTCCGGTTTTATCATTCGTGGCTTTATTTTTGAGGCATTCCCAGAGTTATAATTAGAGATACGTGAAAGAGAAATAGCCTGAAACATTGCTGATGGATGAACTCTACCTACATGTGCAGCACATTTTTAAAATTATTTTTGATACATAGACATATATTTTTGTTCCTTTTAGACATATTTTGGAAAGGCTACCTTGCTCACAGGAGTTGTTCTGAAGAGGAAATGATGGGGCCTCTGGATATGGTGTCACAGTGGATAATTGCTTATGTGGTAGAACATCAGGAATTCCATCCTTACCCCTATCTCACTGCCCCCAGGCACAGCATATAAAATCCTAAAAGTCTCCATAGGAAATGGCATTTTGAAACTGAGAGGCCATGACTATCTTTGAAAAGACACTCTTTTATATTCTGAAACAAATGAATTTAGATAACACATTAAAGTAGGGAAATACATGGTTTATATCTCACATAATAATAATGGGGATCCTTTCCATTTTCTATTATTGTCTGCTAGATAAATCCACCTTTAATGGGAAGCATCTGAGATCATTTTGCTTTGTCACAGGTACTATGTAGAGTAAGAGATAGTTTTCTCTGTGTCTGGTGTGTGGGAGCTGGTGCAAGGCCTTGCCTGCTTTTCATTCTAAGAATTGGGTTCTTATGCTCACGACCACCTATCAATGCCTCCTCTTCTTTTCTGTATTCACAATGGGGTGTAAATTATGATGCTATAAACTGCTCACCCTGCAGGGATGGTGGTTTGATTACTAGGATTGGATTGAAAGATTTAATCTGCTCACCTTCTTTCACTCAGAATTGTCAACATATGCAAGACTGACAGGGATAAGGACAGGTGGGGAGTTTAAGGTGGAAAAAACACTATCTTCTTTGCTCCTCCTGCTGGACCTTGCTCCCAGCTTGTCGCTATGGAGTTAGTGTGGAGTCACAGCTTCGGCCATGGGTAGCTTCGTTGAAGCTTACGTGCACACCTTTGGGTCACTAGCACATGAAGAAATACAGTCCTCAAACCTAGAAAAGCCCACCTAAGCCTCCTTTCACTTGTTCATGGCTTCAGTTAAAAAATATTGACCTTTCTGCTATTTGTTGTTCTTCTCTTTTCTCTCCCCAATCCACATTCACTTTTCCTAATGATCTCTAGTAGAATATACACTAAACTAGTGGGCTAGACACTATATCCTTAGGTTGATAGAAAAATTAAAACCCTCCAAGTATTAGCCTCACTAAAGGTGAACTGAATCTGTGGTCAGGAAGTGATTATTGTAACTCCATCTTGCTATCCAGTGGCTAAAATTCCACTTTCTAAGCTGTACGCCTTTAGTTTGAGGAGATGATCCATGTACCTGTCAGATCCACTGCATGAAGCGGGGCTGGGGAGCCTCTTACACAAGAGCTGACTTGCATCCTTTCTTGTGAGGAGGTAACGACTCAGAAAGACCTCCGCTGAATTTCGCACGTATCCATTTCAGGAGTAATGAGCCTTTAGAGAAGCAATAAAGCATCTTCCAGCCTTAGTTTTTAAATATGTAAAATGAGCATAGTAAGTGATGAAATAGTTTTGATGATTTATTAATTCGGGGTAATATAAGTAAAGTGGCTGTCACAGTCTTGGTGTAGGGTAGATCTTAATTAATGCCTGCGCCTTCCTCCTGTTGGACTGCATTCGCTGTGAAGATGAGATTTATGTTTTCTGTTTCTCCTGTGGCTTCCCACAGTCCATTAGAGTGATCTACATACAGCAGTTAATGTTTACGGGATGATGCTACCTGATTAATATGGAATTTAGTAAATGAAGGTAAGCGGTTGGCTGGCCCCAGCCCCCATGGACTTGGCAGTTGTGTGTCTCTCAGAGCAGAAGCACCCGGGGGAAGCCTGATGTCTATTGCAGGCACGCACACTGATGTGTGATTAAAGTTAAGTGCTAACCAGAGAATCCAAGGTTTTTGTTTTATGCTGAGCTTGTGCTATGATCTGATCCTACTTAGAGTCAGGACAAGGGCAGCACAAAAGAATTTATTGACTGAGGAGCTCTAATCTATAGATTTATGGTGGGAAGGATGCACCTTGATTGATAGAGGAAAACTGCACATGCCCCTCCACGGCAGTGAGGTGTAGGAATAGGACACCCAGAGGCCCTCTGAAAAGACTGCTCAATTTCTGAGCTGGTTGTCAAGCGATGTAAATCATGGAGACCCATGCCGTGTCCTACTCAAAGACCTAAATTAACAAACATAGATGTCAGTAAGTGGAATATAGGCATCACATGTAGGAACAGAGGTCATCCAAAGTGTGTGGCAGTGAGAGCTCAGAGGTCAGTGTAGTTTGCTGCTTATGTGTAGTTTAGAGCCCTGTATGTTTCAGGCATCTCTACTCGAGGTGGCCCAGGAAGGGAGCTGAGCCCTTCCTTGGGTTTTATTTTGACTGATTAATAACATAGACTGGGACGTATGATCTGTAGAGTCTAAGAGTCTCTTTTAAGGGAGGTCATGGATTAACTCTAGACCAAGAAAACCCAAATCCAGCAGTTAGGACTCTATAATACTTGCCCAGCCCTGCAATATTCTAAGGAAGCTTGGCTCCCTCTTGTGGCCTAAAACCATGAGTCGGTTTGTTCTAGCCTCCTGGCTGTGCTAAGAGCAGCCAGTCTTTTGCCACCTGCACCTTGAGCTTTGTAACCTTTCATTTGCTTACTGTTGGCGGAATGAGAGGCATGGCCCTGGAAAAACGATGGGAGAGACATACCTGGCTTTGTTACCCCTCGTGCTTCCTAACATGTCCTCTTGTTGAAAGGGAGATGTGGCATCTAACTCACTTTCTGGAAACTCAATGTTTTCTTGCTATATTTCTATCAAAGACTCATTTTTTTTCTTACCTCAAGGCATAAATGAATACTAATTTTTAAAAGTCACCATGCAACAAGATTGGTTTTATTTAAAAACTAGAGGCCCGATGCACAGAATTTGTGCAAGGGGCTCGGCCCTCGCAGCCCCAGCTTCGTCCGGAAGGTCGTTTGGCTGCCCAGTCTAATTAGCATATTATACTTTTATTATTATAGATGAATTAAAATAATTGAAGCAGTGATTTAATTTCGTTTTTAACAGATGGAACATGAAATAAGAGATCCTTGGAAGGTGGGTGCAGCCCTCAGAAGTGAACCTCAGGAGGACCACAGATATGAAATGCTGAGTAAAGGGATTTATCTAGCTCTCAGTCACTTTACTTTAGCTCACTGTGTTTTTAAAATTTATCTATTAGTTTCTATCATTTAAAATGGAGAGATTTCATATAAAAACAAAATATAACTTGGATTTCTGGATTCTCAGACAAAAATCAGAAGATGACAAAAGAGAGTCCATATTCCCTCATGGCCACAGTCAATGGAAGCTGAAGATTAGCCAACTATTTCAGAGCAAGGCACATCCTCCATAGCACCACAGACCCCACCACTCCCTGTAGTCTTGCACTTTACCCATTTTCCTCAATTTGTACCTGCTTGACTCCTATGAGATTGAGTTTGTGACTCTGTAGGCTTGCAGCATGTAAGGTTCATTTATATCCTAATTGTGGTGGAACTTTGTACCCTAGTTTCACAGTACTTTCTTTTTTTAACTGAATAATAGCCCAGGGACCCATGTTTAGCCAGAATGGGGAGTGCAGGTCCAATGAGGTACAGTCTTCACAGGGCAGGCTGACCTTTCAGTCTCAGGGAATGAAGCTATGAATGCTCAGGCATCTACCAAAGGAATATACCAAAGTGTAGTTATATTTTGATTTAATGCAGAGTAGCAATACTGTCAAAAAAGACAGCAGAAAGAAAATATAGATTTACCTATGTTTAGGCTATTTCTGTAAGTGTTCATTCATTTTTACTTATTTATTGATACCATTGGACACATGCTACTTGTGATTTTTTTTTATTATGTCCGAACTCTCCAACTTCTAGGTTGTAATCTTTAGAATACAGATTTCCAGCTCTACTTCTTTTCCATTTACTTCTTTTATCTTCATATCATTCCCATTTCCCATAAGAGAAAACACATCACAGTGATTCATGTTTTAGAGCTGCAGGTATTCAAATGAAAGCTTCATCTCTTCACTAGCTGCTGCTTGTTTCTTTTGTTGGTTAGGGCTGGAACCCTGTAAACGTCTTGTTCTCCTCTCTTTAGGATTTAGAATGAGACAGCGCCATGTCCTCATGGAATCCACGGGGCCTGCAGGACACTGCACGCATTTGGTCGAATCTGTTCCCTGCGAGGACCCGATGTGTTACCGATGGCTGGTATCTGAAGGCATCTGTATCCCAGATCATGGGAAATGTGGCCCGGGACATCGCATCCTGAAGGCTGTCTGCCAGAACGACCGAGGTATGACGCACACAAACACAAGTATGTTCCAAGTGATATCTGCCCAGTGGAACAGCAGCAGTCTCTACCAGGTCACTTTCCTGAGGGGGAGAAGCAGTCTATTCTAATCTTGAATATGTTTAATTCAAGGGCCACATGCTGCAGAGTAAGCTGCTTTGACTTCATATGGGGCCACATAGTCCCTGACAAAAGAACACTATTTGATTCTGCCTAAATGCAATACAGTGAACCTGGAGATTTCGCTGAAGCTTTTAATTTATCAAGACATAGAACACAGACATTGCCTGGGCAGTCTTCAATTTATCAGCACAGAACAACTTTTATTTGCTGCTTTGGATGTTCATATGTAACATGCTTTTATATAGCTTTTATATATTAGTAACAAATACTACATTGTAAAGATTTCAGGGCTACCACTCCTGAAAAAAATACTGAGCATCTTTTTATTTATATAGCATTAGATTGGAATCAGTTCTAGATGTAATAGTAACATTTCTAAAGGACCAGTTATAAATGAAAGTTGTTGAGATTTACAAAACTAGTAACAATTGTGTATTTTCTATTGCCAGCCTTCTAGTACAATGGTTATTTGAAGTGAAATGTGATTTAGAAAATATGTAACTAACATAAAAATGAGAAAAGTGACACTTAAAACCTTTATCCAACAGTTAAAAAATTCGGTTTCTTGGAAGAATATTGAGTCTGTCTATTAATCAGCTCTACCATGAGAAGCACATTTGTAATGCTCTCGGTGTGTGGACTGAAATGTTTTGACTTATGAGATGAAGTAACACATAGAAGGGAAGTCAGAGTGGATTCCGAATGGATATTAACATCTACACGAACTTGACATTCAACAGTGCATTTCCTTGTTTCCTTGTGTGCTTCCTACCCCTTCTCCTCTCTCTCTCATTGTTCTCTCTTTCCCTCTTCCTCCCTCCTTCCCAGCACTCCCTTCCTCCCCTTTTCTCATCCACATTTCCTTCCTCCTTTTTTATTTCCTCCTTCTCTTTCTCAGTCTTTTTAAAAATTATTGCTGTAATTAGACAAATATACATCTTATTAGGTGATGTAATTGGTAACCCCTGAAACCAGGTGTCTGTTTAATTAAATAGAGAGCAACAACAGATTGTATTAGCTCAGTCCTTTTTGACTAAATAGTTAAAACAAATAGTGGCTTTGAATTTTAACAAATAATTTTTGAATTGAGGTAACATATGTGCAGTTTATTAAGAGAGGCAAATGAGGTCACTTTTGTATTGCTTTCATTCGAATTCAAGAAGAGTAGTATAGAGATTGAGAACCTGGGCTTAAAACTGAGGCTCTAGTGTCAGACAGGTTGGAATTTCAAATCTGCTGCTCAGCTGCTAGATGCTTTCAGGAAAATTATTTAACTGTGGAAACATCCTTTCATTCTGCTGGAAAGTGGTGATAACAAGACCTGCCACTCATGCTCAGAATGTGAGGGTTCAATAAGTGTTGTAAAAGTGAATAGTGAGATGCCGGGCACATAACCATTCGAAAGAAGCTATAAGCCTATTTTATTTATAATGTACATTTATTAGTGTTCTCTGAGCTGGGAGAATAAAGCAAAAAACATTCCTTTAGAAATAAAAATAATAATGAGGATTAGAATAACCATACTTCTTCCTCCCAACCTCCATCTGTGGAAACAAGAGAATCATTTCTTAGGTTGAGACACAATATCAAATGACTGTGAGGCTTCGTCATTTCATAGCCCGCATTGCAGACCTGTGATGGTTTATAATGTCTGTAAGGCTTTGGACTTCTTCACATTTTGTGCTGTGCCTTGCACAGGATTGCAGAGTGTGACATTCAGATTTAAAATTAGAGATATATATTTGGTCTTCGTCCCTGTTTCTGGCACAGAGCTCTTAAAATCTGAGGAATTTCCTGAGTGATAAGAGCAATGGAAACATCTTTTGTTATTAAATTTGGTCTCTGGTCTTCCGTTCCTGAAATTGCTTTCATAACGGTGAAATGGTGTCTTATAATTCATACCAAGCCCCTTCCCAACACCACGGGTCTTATGTTGAGACTTATGGAAACCATCTAAGAACAGAGCTGGGCCAGAGGAGCCACCACAAAGAAAGGCTAGAACTTTCCTTTCCGCCCCCTGATTTTCAGGGGAGGAGCGGGGCTGGAGGTTAAATCCATCACCAATGGCCAGTGACTTCATTCATCATGCCTATGCATTAAAGCCTCCATAAAAACCCAAAAGGATGGAGTTTGGTGAACACATGGAGATTTGGGGAGGGTGGAAAATGGAAGCTCCACACACTTTCCCAAACCTTGCCCTGTGCATCTCTTCCATCTGACTGCTTCTGAGTTATATCCTTTCATGATAAACCAGTGACCGAGTAAGTAAAACAGATTTCCTGAGTTCTGTGAGCTGCTCCAGCAAATTAATGGAACCCAAGTTCAGGATCTTGGGATGTATAGCCAGCTGTTCAGAACCACGGGTGTCTGAGGTGGAGGGCGGAGTTATGGGGCTGCGGAATATGATGCTGTCTTCCGGCAGGTAGTGTCAGAATTGAGTTGAATGATAGGACAATCAGCTGGTACAAATCAGAGGCAATGACTTTACCATTCTACAGCAGTTCTAGAGTTTTATTGCTTTTTCCTAGGAAATGACTAATTTTCAGTGTTGATCTCACTCAGTTTCTATGGGGAGAAGTAGGAGTTACTGCTGGTTCATATCGGTTGCATGAATTCTTTGTGTTTTTTAAATACCTGAATGTCTCCATCATTTGTGGGGCAACAGTCATGGTCATGGTTATGAGAACATGCTCGCCTCCTGATGGCTGAAGCAGTCTTCCATCCACTGAGAAACTGAACATGTGGTTTGGTTGTAGTTTCCACAGTGTAGCTGCTATGAGATTTGGGATGATTGATGATAGAAGTTCTACAGAGAAGTATTTTTGTTCGACTTCTCACACATTATTATAGTCTTTCCATAGCTGCAAGATTTGACAGACACTCATATAAATGCTTGGATTGAAAAGGGGAGATATATATATATATCTCCCCAAGTTAATGTATTGTATTTTAAACTATTTTTCTCCAACATATATATATATATATGGTGTCCCAAATGTCTACACACACTTTGAGTAATTATAAAGACAGTGTTTATTAAAATACATTTCATTTTCAAAATTGAGCTATCAGCTGTTAAGGTGTGTATATATAATTTTGGGGCACCCTGTACATATACTTAGTAAGTCTCCTATGATTATTTTTCTTGTAATATTTGGTAGTTTTCTTTTCATCTCTCTGAGTTTAATTGTTTCATGAGCTTTTTATTTCAGAATTATTCAGAGTTAAATGGATAAGACCAAAAGAAATGTCTTTCTTTGGATTAAAAAAAAAAGACAGCCTTTTATTAGATCTAGTCAGACTTGAGGCTTGTTACCATTTGCAAGGTAACGTGCTTTGTCGCTCATTTTTAGGCTCAGCATGTTAACTCATGCCAGGTATCCCCATATACCAAAAGAACATTCAACATCTTTGCAATTCAGACTGTGGAATGAAGAGATTTATGCATAGCCACTATCAAGATTCTGTAGGCCCCACCGGTGTGGCTCAGTAGTTGAGTGTTAATCTATGAACCAGGAGGTCAAGGTTCAATTCCCGGTCAGGACACATGCCTGGGTTGGGGACTCGATTCCCAGTGTGGGGCATGCAGGAGGCAGCCTATCAATGATTGTCTCTCATCATTGATGTGTCTATCTCTCTCCCCCTCTCCCTTCCTCTCTGAAATCAATAAAAATATGTATATTAAAAAAAAGATTCTGTAGGACTTTTGTCAGTGTTTTGTTGGGCATTACTTGAGCCACTAGGAACACATATTTTCCTTCACAGCAGGTTATTCAGACTTAGCTTGAAAATTTCAGAAATACATATTCTATGTCACACTGAAGCCAGGAAGTAAATGGAAATAGCAGTTTGATATACCTAAGATTTGTGGGTTAGAAAATGTGATCGACTTTGGACTACCTAATATCCAAGTAGGTGTCTATGAATTTCTACAACTATCTCTGTAGATTCACTTTGACCCATTCACTACTTTGATTTATTAGTAATACTGTCCAATCAGTCTCACTGAAGTTCCTATTTCTCACCCATGCTGGGATTGTGGCAAATAATGTTTTAGTCCTTTGTCAGTGATCTTCGTTTTCAGGAAGACTATTGTATAATATAGATTACATGAATGAGAATTCTGACTTGGAAACTGGTTTCCAGTACTTTGGTGGATCAGCTTTGATTTCTCACTTCTGAAGCATATCCTATCATTATCATGAGCCAATAGAAGTTTACTGATTATAAAGCATACATAGGTTATGTTCCCTATTTTTCAAAGGAGGCATTTGAAAGTAAAGGGAGTTTGCTGCCAACTGCAAGCCCGACATATTTCTCCCTTAGATTATCAAGTTAATGTATTGTATTTTGAACTATTTTTCTCCAACATGTGACCAGTTCATTGTTGCCAGGTTTCCCTGCCAATTGATATAAAGGTTTACCACTACGTGACATCTTCCCAGAACAGATTGGGAAAACCCACATAATGCCAAATCAGTGGATGGTGTTACAGTGGCCACTCTATATCATCTTTCATGTCTCCATCATGCAAAGTTGGTGATAGTGCAGGGTCATTGGATAAACATCAGACTGTTTGCTGGAGCTATCAAACCCTGATACTCACCATATGCTGCTCTATAATTTGCTAAAAAGCTGTCTTGAAAAAAACAAGTGTTTGTATGTTTAACCAAACATCTTTATTTAGAGATAACCCAGTATAAATTCTGCCCTTGTAGAAAGCAAATGCCCACACTGGAGCACAATACATCAGGAAGAATGTTAGAATGTTCACATGTTCAGAGGTACATGGAGCTCAAGTTCAAGGTTTCTTATTTCTCACAATTGCACTAGACCTTTCCAATGCAGATATTTTTCTACATTTGCTCAGGAAGCATGAG